CCGGACTTTGGTCACGTTTTGAATTTTATGTTCTTATTAAATAATTCCGCGTTGGCATTTCATAAAACTTTAAATTTCGTTGTGTGGCCTATTTTCATAATATTTTACTGCTCAAAAGTAAATTTCTATTTATTTTAAATGGCAGGCGTTTGGATAGTTATAATTATCCCTTTAGTTGACATTAGGCTTCACAGAGGGGAAGAGGTACATCAAAGTGAAAAAAATTGAGAGGGGGGGGGGGTCAGAATAATGATTCACGAACGTAAAAGAGACAGACAGACACAAAGGCAGACAAAAGGTGAAGTGAGTATTGAGGAAGTGGACGAATATGACATACAGTGGGGTCATGGTAGTTAAGTCAACTGCCGGTTAATAGACTTTTTGCCGTTGCCCGTGGTGCACCGCGTGGAGGTAAGTCTATCGCACACCCCTCGAAAGTAAGTAATGATTGTGAAATGCTCTGCTACCTTAACAATCCTTTCGGCACCTTTTCCATCTGTTTGAATTTCTATTAAGCCATGTCAGTTGTATGTTTGTACCACCCTTTGTAACAAGGCTAATCAATTACCCGTTCCCATCATTCCACAACTAATGCTAATTTAAAGTGCAGTATTGACACACTTAGAAGCTTTATTAGTAGTACCGATATCAGTTACAGCTATGTATGATAAAATAGTGTTATTAATAGCAGGGGATTTAAAAGCATATTTTTTATGGGGATGGTATTTAGAATTGATATTTGAAGTCGACCCAAACGAGATAGCGTTGTTGAATCTGGGCCGTATCATAGACAATATATTCGTTATAAAGCAGATCGCTTTCAACATCAGCAGAAGTCACTGGTTCACCAATTGGATAAACGACACCAGTCTCATGGTCTTTGTAATATGTATGTGGATTCGGTGCAGTTGCTCCAACACCTAAATTAACAAGCCATGTTACTTACATATAATCAGTAGTGTGAATCAATATAAGTGAGCCGGATTTGTAATTACCTTTGCGACTGTTGAACTTCTTAGCTAATTTAGAGTCCTTAGCAGAGAAGCATTCTTCTACTTTGCCAAGAGCAACATCACAGAGCAGGAGACAACCACGAGCAGAAGTCGGAGAAGTGTAACAGTAATTAGCGGACTTACTAGACATATCTGAGAAATAGACACCTTTGCCAAACATGTAACCTGTACTGGGGGCTTCTGGAGGTGCGATTCGAAGACCTTGGGCCCTATAAAAATACCCGGTTTATATTGTCACTGAATCAATAATAAGTAGAAACAACTTTTATAAATAAATGAACTTATGAGCATGCGTGCACTCACAGAATCCCCGCAAAGTTGGTCCGACGAGAACCATGCCAGAGCATCATACGATTCTCTAGAGCCTTGAATTTGTCAGCTTCTCCTTCTCGAGAGAGTGAAAAGATGTCAACAATATCCAGAGTGTAAGTAGAGTGAGTAGGTGCATGGGTAGCGCGAAGATATTCAGCAATTCTAATGAACTCTTCTGATTCACGTTCTATTGGCTAAAGAATAGACGATTAGCAATGGTTAATATTACAACCACCAAAATGAACATAAGAAATTGAGTGATAGAGTCACCTCGATTCTATTCTTGAGTTTCTCGTAGTGCTCGTCAATAGGATTGACATTAGAATCACCGGTTTCCATGAGTGAGTACGCCAACTCAATCTTAAGCAGATCTTCCAGCATTCCTGACTTGGCTTTGATAACTTCCAAGTTATCTAACAAGGGCGGCATTTTCATTCCAAAATCATGAGGAATGAGAGTGTAGAAGCGAGTCGTGTCGCCAATCAATTTGCTCTTCGCCGGTCCCTCGAGGGCTTTATTCGAGCTCAGAAGGGTTGAAAGATCGCTGAGGACACTATAGGCCTCTTGAATTTGAACGCGGGAAATCTTTCCCAACGGCATTTTACGCAAATCAATCTGAGCAAATCAAAGTAGGTTAATGAGACCAAGGTACTACTAATGAGAATATTAAGTAAGCACCTACTTCGAATTCCATTAAAGCGTTTGTCATAGAAGCGACATCAAATAAAAAGTTGATAAGAGCTTGAACCCGAGTTTCCAATTTGGAGGGGACCTTGGTGATCTGAGTTACCTTGGCCGTTTCTTCATCCTAATTGAAAGAATTGGCATGCATTAAAAAAATTTCATAGATATTTGAGTGTTAGTAACGCATAAAAAATCTCCCTAACAGATAATCGGCCCGGAATGATACCAAGAGCAATTAAACCCATTCTAATTATTATATTTTGCCGAGGAATAACACCTGCCCCTTGATATCTATCAGAAAATTTGGCTAATAAGATATTTTCTGTGCATGAGATTCATACTTTTGTCTCCATTTCAACAAATACTTCAAAAGCATGTGGAACCCCTCACTTACACTACATGCCCTTACATTTCGGCTAGCAGTCTGTGAGCACATACTTTTTTACACTCGTCAAACTCAGAAGGGTAAAGAAAAAATATATCATTGTCAATGAAAAAGTAAGTAGACAGAAGCAAGACGAAATGAAGCATAGGATCTCGATAAACGGAGTGGGTTAATTTGTGACTGCACCCAACCATCCCTCCCACCATAATTTTGGCTAAAATGACCAAAATTTGAATTTAAGACAATTTGGCAAAAAATAGTAGAGCTGATCGCCAAACAAAACGCTCTACTCACTGTAGGATTAAAATGTTCCATATCTAGAGGATAGAATCTGCGAGGCAATTTGAGGAACTTTCCTTTTGGAGTACCCCAAGCATTGCCAGTCTTCTCCAAAAACAGTTCCTGGAAATTCTGTGAAGCAGCATCAAGTGTGGTAAAACGCTCCACCTTTGAGCCACCAATATCTGTACCAATACGACCCCAAGATCGGAATACCCAGTGCTTTCGTGGCTCGTCATCAGAACGCAGAACTTGAAGCCTGAAAGGAAAAGAATAAATATCGCATGTGTGTGCGTGTGTGGTGTGATTTGTTAATAAATAGCAGGAATCAACGCACTTATAGTAAGAGTTGGAGCCACGAACAAGGTCAACCAAACCGAGAACAGCAGTGAGTAAACGTCCACTGGAATCGGTGGCGACGGAAGCACAGTGGTCGAGGCCGGAATCAGGGTCAACAACTGCTCCACCCTTGACAAGCATCTTTTGAAGGACTCTACCTTCTTCAAGCTTTGCCATGGATGTGGATGACCCAGGCTCTGTGACGAAGAGAAATATGAGGAAGCACAGGCTTGTGAATTATTCTGCTTTTCACATAAGAAACCAGTATTTTCTCCCGCAATATAACAAATGTCAACTCAGCTTAATAGCAGATTGGCTATTGGCCATTGAGAAAAAAACAAGTCTCCAAGCACCCAAATACGACGACTAAAAACCGTCCTGTATCATTTGCTACCATTTCAGACGAGGTGGGGTACAAATAAAATCAAAGGGTAATTAATTCAACAACATACTTCTTCAAGAAAACCAAAATTACTGACGTTAGATGATTTCCTGTGTGCTAATATGCTAATATGTACTTTGATTATAACATGGAAGGATTTAGAGTAGTTGTATATTGTGGTATGAAATACTGCGTAGTTGTACACTGTTGAACAAAAGACCCGCGCTTTCCACATGCGAATCGACACAACTGACCAAAGATGCATCGGCAATCTCCAGTCCTCCTTCAAAGTAACATTTCACTGAAGCTTGAGGAGGCGAAACGGCTTTTCCACTGACTAGCACTGAGTATAAAAAGCTAGACAGACCTACACCGAAGGTAGCAACTATTGTGTAATCAATTTGCCCAAGTTACTTAACACCTACTTACACTTAAACAGCTACAATGAACGAATAAAACAGGAAAATTGCAGCAGATAAACACACTGACTTACCAACAGTAGCCTAAAATGGGAAAAAAAACAAGCGAATTTAAAAATTACACAAGGGAAAGAAATACAAACTCTAGACAAACATGATCAAAATAACTAACACTATTGGTACCAGCTGATTCCCAAATGCTGGCCAATGGATCCTCATTCAAGAATTTCTGAACATCGTCGCCAGAAGTGAACTTCTTGATGGCACTTTTATTGAGAAGACGGCCACAACTCAATGGACGCATCCCAGTGGACCTGGCTTTTGTTGCCAACTTTCCTTCAACGCCTTCGGTGCCTCCTGTAGTTATGAATACACCTCCGCGGGCAGGCTATTAATTGAAGAGACGAATATGGTGTCAGGTTATTTAGAACAGTTATTTAGAACATTATAAGTAAATGAAGCCTATATCATTCATTCATCTCACTTTCCGAAATCCACTCATTAGCTCACAAGATATTCGGTGAAATAGAAGTTTATTTCATTAGACGTTGATTATGCGAAGAGTGAGTTCTTCCTACAGGATATTTGAAATGAATATCTCTACAAATCACTAGTGGCCAACGAAGTAAGCAATCCATTTTAGTGGGACCAGTAATAATATTATAGAATACAAAAACTCAGCATATTTGAGATTTACAAACAAGACTTACACTTGTTAGGATGGATCCACCGAGGGACCGGATCTTAGCAGCGAGATCGCGTTGACTCAAATTATCTGTGAATGGGCCATGATCGAGAAGGAAGTGAAGGCCAACAAGAGGTTTCTTTGCGTCAAATTTACCCTTTGATGAGACACCTATAGCTGTGTCGGTGGATGCAGCAAACAGACGTTCACGAGGCTTGCATTTGTACGACTTTCTGGAAAAGACAAAAAAACATTGCAAAAACACTTTTCCAAATCAACAGACCCCAGTCTCTCTTAAACACTCCAAAGTCTCGTAGGAACATTAAGCCATAAGCAGAAGAGACTTCAAGTTTCGCAGTTTCAGCAAAGAAAATTAGACATTCGGTAGTTTTCAAACTTCGGTTAAGAACAATTGCAGAATTAATAAGAGTTGAAAAGACTTCCCTCCAATCAAAATTTAAAGTTAAAAATAAGTAAGGAACGGGGATACTATTATCATCTTTATCTCGAAATTCAAATGGCGGGGCTGATCAAATTACATCATTTTCCCACTACAGTTATTCCTTCATCGCAAGCTAACTAACTCAAACCCCAAATTTGACCTTATTTCAAGTTCAACTAACCTAGTATTAAGCTAAAATAACTGCGTTTATTTCTGACAAAATTCGTTTTCTCCCGTATCATTACAAAAGAGATTCCAGTTTCATTTTCTTCAATGGCAGCAGTATAATGGCTCATGTACGCAAATATATGGAACATAATTTTCGATAAGAATACTCTCAAATTCTAAATAAGAAGTAGGGGATAAAACAACCCTGGTTTAATTAAAACTATTTCAGACCTTTTTTATAATGTTTACTATAAGGACGAATCGAGAGATAAAACTATTAGGACTCACAGGAAAGGAACATCGTGGTATTCCTTAGGCACTCGGAAGACGCGACGTTTGATAGAGGTAGAATCAGGTGCAGAGAAGAGGCAGGGAGCCCAGTTGTTATTAAGACGGGAACAACAGTAGCCACCACCACCATCAGCAAGTCTAAGGGGAGCGCCATCGTCGGGGCAACCCGGCAATGCACCAAAGCTCATTGCGTCGGCTACAGCGTCGAGTAAATCTGATCGACCGGAAGGCACTGCCTGATCGTTGTATTCCAGGAGGCCGATGAGAGCTTGGGTGGATACTTCTTCGTCTAATCGATCACGAAGACGCCAGAGCTCATCACTCTGAGCCTTAATAGAGGGAAATAAAATTAGAGTATATCATATACACAGCGCAAATTTCATAGAGCACGAGAACACTTTGCCACTTGATGAGACTCCGAATCGGTTTAGAGTAAAAGCACCCACAAAGTTTGCTTGCTCCTGGGGTGTGCGATAGACTTACCTCCACGTGGTGCATCCTGGGCAACGTATACTCATACGGCAAAAAAGTCTATTAACCGGCAGTTGACTTCAGACTCCAAACTACCATCACCCCACTGTATGTCAAATTCGGCTACTTCAACCGTACTCACCTCACCTTTTTTCCAACTTTGTGTCTGTCTCTTTTACATCTTTGAAACACTCTTCTGTCCCCCCCCCCATCTCGACCTTTTTCACTTTGATGTTCCTTCCCATCTGTGAAGCCTGAAGTCAACTAAAGGGCTAATGATAACTATCAAAACGCCTGCCATT